CTTCATTCAACTTAGCCTGTCATATATGACCAACTGTGTTAGTCAAAGTGTATAATAATATTTAATATACATTTTCAATAGAATATTTATTTACTTGAAAAGTTGAATGAACGAATGAACGAAAAATAGAAAAGGTGTCTCAAGTTTCTAGTGAAACAAAAGTAAAAAATATAATACCAAGTAAAAAAAGTTCGTACCGTAGAAGATTGAAATACGTTTCCCCCCTTCCCTTCCTCCTCTACCCCTCTTCACGGCTCATGATTATTTCAGTAACATCGACGTTCGCATACAACAAGCAGAATTGGAGTATAGACTGGGTCGAGAAGAATTGGAGCTTTTGACATTACGCGAAGAGAGCAGGGCACTTCAAACGGCATTGGAATTGGCAGAAACCCAAGAGAAACGGAAAAATGATACCATATACAGGTTGGTTCGATTCTTTTCTATCATTTTTTACCTTTAACTTATTTCCATATAATTTATATGTAACTATTTATTATTTACTTTTATCTCGTGGTGCTATTGTGACAATCAAGAATTTAAATCTAATTTATTTCCAATTTTTATTTTTACACACTATGAATATTTTATGAACTAACGCATTGCAGTATGTTTGAAACAAATTCTCTGACTCAACAACATTTTATTTGATTTTATTTTATTCCATATTGTTTCATATTGTATTCAACAACATTTTATTTTATTTTATTCCATATTGTTTCATATTGTTATTTTGCCAATGATTTGAATTTAGATTAAGGTTTACGTACCATTACGAATGTGTATTAGTCACGGTTGTTATAAAAATAGATAAATCTTACGTTTAGTTGCATTTCCGGGTCAACGCAAGTCACCGTGCATGCCGTCGAAATTAGTGCAGATCCAAAGAGTCCTCGTTTCGGTGCTGGACCAAGAGACGAGATGCCTGGGCTTTACGTTGATTGGGCTGTCGAAGATTCTGGTCTTTGCAAAGGTGACAGGTATGAATTTTTAATCGATTATAATATATATATTATATTAATATTCTTAAATAATTAACAATAAGTTTTGTTTTTTTTTAAATACAATGAGTAGCGGTATTAACGGTACATTTCTCAATTACTATAATTAGGTATGCAAGACTTAGAAAAATCCACGAATGAGGCATAATCTTCTTGAAATATTAATCGTTAGACTTGGATACGAAGGACTTCCTTCAAAATCAACTTACAATTAATCCAAGAACATTGTAGCCGTTATAAAATGCATTGTTTTGTGTATATACGAAGAAGAAAGGTGTGAAGGAAGAATGATTTGCATCTATGAGAAAATATATACGATGATCTATAAATCATTGTTATATACTTTCCAATTTTTCATTCGAGTTATGCATTCATAGGAACAAACTATGTGCTGTTACATATTTTATCTTCTTGGTATAATAACGATAATATATTATGCATGTAATAAGTATACTTGCTTGGCACAATTTACGTTTAATCATTTTTCAATGAAACAAGATGATAAAGTAGTTAATGATAGTCTTTTCAGATAGTTTTTATGTTTTATATTATAAGTAATCATATGCGTTAGGTGATCGCAAGAAAAGTAATCATTTAAAGTAAGAAATAAATTGAAATTTCAAATAAGCATGGACGATACTGATACATATTCGATATCRCGTTATTTTAATAAGAGAAACTAACGATTTCTTCTCGCAAACTAATTTAGTATTATAAATAAAATGATRTATTATCCTTTTATTATTCTCGTGTTATTTATTAACGCGAACGAACGTTTATTGCAAACACATATTAACTATTATTTTTGACGTAGTATCGGAGACGGCGTTGGAAACAAGACTTTGCAAAATTTCGACAAACTTTTTTCGTATCGCGGYTCGTACGTGCTTATGGTTGTTCGCAAGCATGGTGTCAAATGGTCATTCGTTAAACGGGAACGATGTTTCGTATCGATTGCRTTCGCGTTAGAAAATGTTGTATCGCAGTGGTAAGTAGAAACGAGAAAAATGCTTGTTCAATATGCTGCGCGTCTCGATAAACGCGGATACTTTTCTTCGCCTAGATAAATTCCAATAACTATTTTCAAAGGTAGCTCTCGATTCGAAAAAATATATCGCACTTTGAGTTAAGGATTTGATTCTCAACTGGTCATTTGGTTCACGGACATCGGAGATGTGCACGTATCAAACTGATMAACGATTTGAYCACCCCTGGGCTTTAGGTATACACGGTGCTCGTACATACTGCGAAAGTATAATAAATTTAGGACAATATGATTTAGGTTTTGCTTCGGGTGGCCTCGATTCGGAATTTCGTCGATGGCTCGGCGTTACGCGGCAAGCATTATATTCTCTTCCGTTTGTTTCGTTGGAAAATTCCTCTTTCAATTCGTGTTCGAAAGAATAAAACGTTTGATTGAAATACGCGATACGCTTTGCACACTATAAGCAAAAGATCCCACGTGATAAACATTATCCGTTTAGTTTTACGGTTGACTGAAAAATCTCTTGATTCGATTACGCGTATGTGATTATATTTTAAACAATAGAATATTACCGTAAATCCGTGAAACGTTAGATTAATAAATTCATTATACAATTGGCCAGCATATGTGTAATAGATTAACGTGACTCACGTGTTGGAATCACGGTGACCGCTTAAAGAGGAGCATACGTTCTTAAAGAGGTTGCAATGTGCTATAGCTACGTGTTTTAGCCCGTTTTATGGATATCGTGGTTAAACAATAGCACGATCTTTGTACTAGGTTCCCAACGACGAGTCGTAAAGTACAGCGAAATCACCGGAAGTCCGCATGGTGCCCCCGCTAATTGTACCTCCGTCTTTTACACGACCCTGTCCCTTTTTTTTCCTACCTCTCTCTCTATCTTACTCTCTTCGTTCCTTTTTTTTTTCTTTCCTTTTATTTCTGACTCTATTCACCTGCTCCCCCTTTTTCTCTTGTCAGAATTTACTTCACCGATTCTCTCGACTTATTTTTTTTTTAAATCCAACTCTGGTCGTGCTCGTTCACCGAGAAAATACACGTTGAAAAATCAACATCGTTTAAAAGAAATTTTATAGCGTCAAGCTGTATGATTTTAATACATCGATAAGCATGATCATATCTTTTAAACGCATATTTTTAATATAATTAAATGTAGACAAACATGATTTGCAAATGATTAATGCAATTAGATAAGCTTATATTATAAAAACATTTTGTTATCGATACTTTACCGCTAAGAAACATTAAATCCTTGAGAGTATATTACGGTTATACTAATGAGATCGTTTCAACTATGATACTTCGTTGTAGGATACTCGAGGTGAACGGGAAACTTGTTGTAGGAGCCAGTAAAAACGATTTGACGAGACTGTTAGCTGTTGCACCGGACGCGGCACAGATCGTAGTATTACGAAAAGGCGAATCACTTGCTGCATTACGTACACTTAGATCCGATAATTTAAGACTAACACACAGAATTGGATATCTCGAGGAACAAGTCAGAGATCTATTGGCACCAACCAGAACCGAATTAACTTCAAAGGATTTGTCATTGGCTCCTCAAGAACACGTTCAGGTATATTTCATCTTTTTTAGAAAAAAAGATCACAGAAACATTAACACATTTATATTATTATTAAGAATTATTATTTCGTTATATTGTATCATATTTTTCTAGGTTTTTCAAAAGGGTCCTCAGGTGACCGCCCTAGTCGCTAATTTAACCAATCCCAAGGTTAGAAATCCAACAGATTTGAGACAAAGTTTACCAACCATGCGAAGCAGACAAAGTGATCACGGTAAATCATCACATTTTGCTACTACGAGAAGTCCCAAAGAAAATGATTTCTTTTCCGACGGGGTTTCTTACGGTGGTCATCAGAAGCCGAGAAATCGGCAAAAACATCAAGCTTTTCCATTAGCCAGGTCCACGGTTAGTCTCGATTGCAAACAAACGCAATCTCAGTTGCAACGTAGAAGATTGCCGACTACTATGGAATCGGGAATGGAAAGTAGGAAAAGTCAACAATTGCAGACGTTGGAATTTGATTCCGAACCTACTTATTATCGTCAGGTATTATTAACTTGTTATTTTTTTATTTAAATGTAATGCTATTAGGATGTGGCAAAAAAGTTCGTGCGTTTGCATACTGTAAATTTTATTTATTGTTGAAATTCTTTTTGTAAATATCTTTATATATTCTTTTTTTTTATATCTACTACTTTGATTATTTATTATTTGTCAATTTTTGAAGTTATACTTCTTATGGCGCGTTTGGGAAACAATTATAGGAATGAATTTTTACGATGCACTCGTACAGCGACACGAAATTAACAGGATGAAGTTAGTTGGTATTCAAGATGCGCGCGCACAACGACACGAAATTAAGAGCATGAAGTTAGTCGATGAATCTACCTTAAATTTAGTGTGGATTGATATCTGTATTGAAGATATTTATTCTACTATTTCTATATGTTACTGGCAAAGTACGAAATACCGACATCATTGATAATGCTTCGCGTTTTTAGGCAATGTAGAAAATAAAAGAATTATTACGTACTTTATTATAATTTTTAAAATGTAATTATTTGTTATTTTGTTTTATTATACACCCAAAGAAGTATAACTTCTAATGTGTTTACATAAGTACACACACCCGTGGTTTTTTTTGTTTTTTTGTAAAAAAATTTACTTTGGAAATATTAAACAAAAAAAAAAGAAAAGTCGCACGAACTTTTATATTTCAGCCGTAATATTTTGAAGATATATTAAAATAAATTGGAACACGAATACTCGTTTAGGATTCCCAATCGCGAGTATCGGAAAATTCGGAAATTCTTAGCACGTACAGTTCGCAAGAAACTAAAATCCGGCCGGCACCACCTAAAAAACCATTGAGACTTTCCCTTCATCGTGCGGCTAGTCTTCAGTCCGTTGAAAGTGCACCGCCTGCGGCAGCAACAACGACGACCCTTCACGAGGGCTCTCGTAAGTCGTCGAAGAGGAACCATCGTGGTGAACCCTACTCCTCTTTGGAAAAGGGCTCGACGATCGAAGGAAACCAAGATGCAAACCACAGAATACAGGAAATGTTGCAACACGATCTTTCTCAGCAACCGCCACCACCACCACTAACACCAAGGACACCTTCCAGAGCGGAATCTTGCCAGAATGCTTTGCGGTGGCCTTCGCCGAAACCGAGATCGCATTTGGCTTCTGTTTCCACGGAAAAGTGGTGTTGAATGTGAATTCAACTAATTTCGAATGAACGCAACTAGTCTCGAAACAAACTGCTAAATATTCGAGATGAATTTTTTTATATGTGGCTTCACACGCCTTCACATATTATATTTCGCTTAAGATTTCTAAACAAAAAGTAGAATATATAAATTCATCGATTGTTGTATAGAATCATGTGACGAATAGTGATATTTTTTTAATATGTGCACGAATAATAATACAAGAATTTAATTTATAGAATATAATTACATGAATAATTTGAAAATTTCAAATTGTTTATTGGAACAACAGAAATCTTTGTTAAGTTCCTTTTTATTCGTATCCCATGTTAATTATTTAATATAACAAATTTACCAAAAAGTAACATAATCCAAAATATAGAAAGGTTTTTAGGAAAAACGTTTCAGGTATAGTATAATAATCATTTTATAATATAAAACATATCACAATCATTCAACTCTTTGTACAGATTATTATTCGTATAACAGATATTTATATCTTAGAAAATCATTCCAAATGTTCCTATATAAAATATGAATGCTCAAAGAAAGAAGATAAAGAAGAAGAAGAAGAAGAGCAATTCTAAATTACATGAAAGAACAATCTTCAGTAAATATATATATATATATATACAGGTATAAACGTAACGAGCTTAAGCAGGTGGCTCCGTACGGTGAGTTTTCCGAATACTTCATCGTTATATGTACTTTTAGCTATATATATACATGCATATATGCATATACATAGATCCAGAAGATTGTATATTCGCCTAACTCCCCCTCTCAGAAGAAAATGATTTCTACCATCACCACCACCATCAACATCAGTATATAGAAGATTGTATTCGCTTAACTTCTCCACCCCTGTCAACAGAAAATCGTCAGTACTACCAGCACCAGTTCAAATAGTAGTACCATCACCATACCACCAACCACCATTACCAGCACCAGTACCAGTATCAGCATAAATATTAGGACTACCAATACCTACTAGCATCAGCACCAATATCAGCATAAATAGTAGTATTATCAATACCAGCATAAATAGTAATACTACCAAACCTACTAGCATCAGCACCAATACCAGCATAAATATTAGTACACCATCAATACCTACTACCATAACATCAGCACCAATACTAGTATAAATAGTAGTACACCAGCAATACCTACTAGCATAAATAGTAATACTACCAAACCTACTAGCATCAGCACCAATACCAGCATAAATAATAGTACACCATCAATACCTACTACTATAACATCAGTACCAATACTAGCATAAACGGTAGTATTACCAACACCAACCACCACACTAGCATCAGTACCAATACCAGCATAAATAGTAATACTACCACCACCACCACTACTACCAGGATCAGCAGCAGCAGATAGAACACTGCTGGTACCCCACCTAGCAGCAGCAGCAGCACCAGTAACAAGAGGAGGAAGGGTGGTTATGCCAGGCAGAATCTTCATCCCTCTGCCGTGTTCTACCCCTTCTCTTTCTCTTTTTAGTTGTCGACTCGCCCCTCTACTACACACGTACGGCAACCCCGGCGTTCAGTGCTGGCGCTTCCTTCGTACAAGCCGTGTTGCGAATTTTCGGATCACCAGCTTCTTCTGTCCGTCAATCATTTTCTCTCTCTCTCTCTCTCTCTCTCTTTATTTCTATTTTTCTCTTTCAATCTCTCTTTTATTCTATTTTTCGGATTTGGTGTCAGTGGTGCGTGTGAGTGTGTGTACTTTTTTTCCCGAGTGAAATATTCTATTATTATTATTATTATTTTTTCTTTTTTTACATTGAAATATTTGGCCAGTCTTCTTTTTTCTTTTGTCTTTCTCTTTCATTTCTCTTTTCTTTCCTTTTGTCAGCAAAAGAGAAGAAAAGAAAAAAAAAAAAGTAAAGCAACGGTTCACGTCGAACCAATGATTCATCGGTTCTCCTTTCTCTCTTGTTTTTTTTTCTTTTCTTTTCTATTCCCTTTGTAATCCTTTCAACATTAACGAGCACTGTCTCTCTCTCTTTCTCTCTCCTCTCATCTTCCCCGTTCTTCTACACGATCTTGAAGCTTTCTACTTGCATCTGTAGGAATTGTTAACGACGAGGTCACTACTACTCTTTTTTTTTTCTTTCTTTTTGATATAACCGTCCTCTTTTACAATTTTAACACAAATTTCTTTCACTTTTCTTTGATTTTCTTTTGATCTAATATAAAATTTTGTTTCTTCCTCCAATGAGATTGATTCTCCGATGTTCCGTCGTATATTGTAGAAATAAAAAGCAACATTTGCGAGATAGAATCATCAGGAATATCATGCTCAACATCTTGAAAATAACGAAAGGTAAGGATTTTTTATTTCATTTCATTTGTTTCTTCCTTTTTTGACTACAAATTGCAGGAAAAAGCAATTGAATTATTATTGTTGTTTGTTTGTTTGTTAGATTCATTTGTATTTTAATATATTATGCTAAGAAAGAAAGCAACACGTTACTTCTAACATTTTTTTCTCTGATTTTTGTCTTCTAATATAGTACCTTTCGTGCCCTTCAAAATAACCCCAACAATTTTTCTTACTTCAGGGATGAGAAAGTTTCGTCAAGTTGTTCTCCTACGAGTTCTTTATAAGTTTCGTTTATTTTATTTTACCTCCTCCCTTTCTCAATTTTTCTTCTTCGTCCTATATTTTTTTTTTTCTTTTTTTTCCCCAACGAAAAAATAGTATTGCGAGTTTCGACGAGAAGTTTTTATTCTCATAAAAAGATAAATGTAACTTAACGCGTATTTTTATTACGTTTTCTTATATAAATTCGTTCAATTTTTAAATAATACACGCGAGAATAATTGCAACTTTTTTTTTAAAAAATCCAAATTACTCGTTCTTCTTTGTTTTTGTTTTAGTTTTATTTGTATAAATTTTGGATTGGTAGGAAAATTCGCGTTAAATTGATATCATCCAAATAGTTGAACACAATTCTCGTTTTCTTTTCGGTTAAACTCGTATTTCGGAGTTAGAATACGATTTTCCATCCAATATACAAGATACACATGACTCTTATCTATCGTTTAGGTTCTTTTTTACGATATCGTAACATCCTAATGTGATTTTTATAGATGTCGTAGTAAACTGTAAAATGATTTAAAAGAAGCTTCATAATAAATATAAACCCCAAAACAGTTAGTTAAATAAAAGTAATATTGTATAATAGATTTGTTATTTGTATTTGGATATTTTTGTTATACCATTTTCAATAGAATAAAATGCTAAGTTATGTAATTTAATGAATTTATATAACTGTCTATAGTTATATAAAAAATATAATCTAATTATATAAATTGATCAGAAAAAAACATATAATGAATAGTTTAAACGAATCGAAAATTATACGTAAACATATTTGAATAGAGTAAAGTAAAATCGTAAATCGAATGCAAAGATAGATTCTTTATAAAATGTAATAACTTCTTCTATTTTTTTTTTGTGGTACTTTTAAAGGAAATCATGAAATCGTTGTATATTTTTTTACCATTCAACGAATTCGTATTTGAACTTTTTAGAATAAACTTTTCATCGAATCTCGAAGAATTTCTTTTCTGCTTTTCTACGATCCATTTACTTTTCCTATAATATATATATATATATTTGAGTATATATATGTATGGTTTATGTATGTATGTATATATAAAGTTTCTGTACATAGTATTAATGAAAAAAGAAAGATAGAAAAGCATGTAATTTCTTCTAAGTCGTTTATTTGTTTTTATTTTCCATCAAATACATGCATTAATATTTATATATATAATATTTTGTGGTGTGTAAAAGTAACATTTTGAAATAGGATTAATTAAGAAAACATGATTTGTTTGAAAAAAGAATATTACTGCAATGTGTGGTCAAATTAATGGTAAAGTATGTTTAATGCATAAAAATACGAATAGAAACAACAAACTATGAGATTTAAAAATGAAATGATACTAAGAATAATAACAGAAATAATATGACTCATATAATATAATTTGGTTGAAAAAAAATTACTGCAATGGTCAAATTAATAACTAAAAAATGTTTAATGCATAAAAATACGAATAAAAACAACAAACAATGAGGTTTAAAAATGAAATGATACCAAGAATAATAACAGAAATAATATGACTCATATAGCATAGTTTGTATAAAAAAAAATTACTGTAATGGTCAAATTAATGACCAAACAATGTTTAATGCATGAAGATAC